CTTTCCCTATGGGATTCAGCTGGCAAAATTTTAGCTTTCTAAAAGTCAGATGTTTGATCTAAGCAGTTTAAGATCAGATTTAGCCCATGCAGCAACCAGGAGGGTGTCACTCACTGTATTTTGTCCCACCTGGGCAGACTGGGAGCTGAATCCACAGTCCAGGACCCCAGCTTGGGTGCCTTCCCACTGGGAAATACATGGGCAGAAAAGTCTGTGTGAAAATGAGAGTCCTTGTGACACCTTTCACAAGTGTTTCAGCCTCCATCTGTGCAGGCAGGAAATGTGTTTCCTGCTCTTGGATACTTCTACATCCACAGAAGTTTGTTTCTTTTTTACTCTGAGTCTGTAGGGACCACAGTATTTTTGACAAAACCTGAGTATACGACGTGACCACAGCCAAGGCCACTTAAACTTACATCAGTTGTGACATTTCATGTCAGGGAGAGTTTGAGATATTTCACCAGGCGGAGAGCTGTCTGGTCTAGAAAATTATAGTTTATTCACTGCCTCGTCTTGTTGTCTTTAGACAGGTATTGTGACTTTTGAGGAGAGAGACCATCCTAACTAACAAGCCAGTTTTTCTTATATTCTTTTTGAAATACTGGCCTTGGAAGGGTCTTTATTTCCCTGACGTCTGTACCAAGGCTGGTTTTCAAAAGAGAGAACAGCTCGTTTCTGATTGAATACTCCCTCTAACCTGGAGGTGGATGATCTGTAATCCAAACGAGCATCTGCCATTTCTAGGAGAAGGACTGGCTTTGCTGAGCCGTTCCTGTCATTGCACGGTACATGTGCAAGGTCTTGTAAGATTTTCTGTGCATATGAACAGCCAATTACTTGAGTTGTTTTTTCTGAGGGCTTCCAGGACACACGTTTTGTGTATCCACCAGCACTTCGTTCACAAACCCAAGTACAATCTCTCTTACCGTCTTTTCATCAGGACAGACCAATGCCAAGGCTTTGCAAGAAGCGGTGGGGCGTTGTTGGGGTCCTGTCTTTGTGAGCTATGCAACGGGTATTTTGGTTTTTCTTCACAGTTGGCGTTGGTGAGTTAGGAAAAAGGATACCCAAAAGGCTAAGCCTACAGAACCATGATGAGCCCTTCACAGAGAGCTGATCCAGCTGCTAGAGGCTTGCATACAGTTTTCAGTCTCTCTCTAAATAGTCTTTGATGAAATAGTTTTTTACAAAGAGAAGATAAGGAAGCAGGAGCGTCTCCAGTAAGGCACAGCTTGGCATGGCCAATGTCACACCTCAAGTTATCCTCATTAGCCACAGACACATTCACAAAGCCAGCTTCAAAACTGCATCCCTGGTCATTTAGCAGAGAAAGGGCAGGAGACTCACAGCAGTGATATTAGAAAGAAATGAAAACATCCCAAAGACTCTAGCTCCATGAAATGTAATTCTTTCCTTTGGCAGGGGCTTGTGCAGCTGTGTTGCTTTCCTGCGCACGTGGATTGATACAGCTCAAGTTTCACTTTGAGTTTCAGCTTCAAACAGTCCATTTCTGGAAAGGGATATTCACCAGAAGCCAGAAGTTCTCCTGCCTGCGTATCTAACTAAAACCAAAAAATTATATAAAACTATCAGCAGGTCTGAGTTACCCATGAAATAAGCTCAGCTTTTGTTTGCTTATTTCAGTAATTTATAGTTTGGCCATTTATTAGCTTCCAGTCTACGTAATAAGGGTCCATCTCAACTCAAATTGTACAAAACTGAGAAGCAGAAATCAAAAGCAATGAATAAAATAAACCCAAGGAAACCAGCAAGCGAGAAAGGTAAACAGAACATGTTGATCTGGAGAACATGGAGAAATTTGCCCCAAACAAACCATGTTCATAGCTGGCTGCATAGGACATGAACAAACTTGGGCAATGTGTTGACTGAGTAGTTGGGAGGCAAGTCTGCCGTTGGGTCTTTCCAGCCCAAGACATGCTGGGGACTGCCAAGGGGACCCCCTTGTTGCTACTCTCTTCAGACCTCCCACGTGCATAGGCTCTTCTTACCTGCTATTTGAGGAGCATATAAAAATGTTTCAGGAGAACAGACCTGAAACTGCTTCACCATTGGGTCCACGCCTTAATACAGCTGTGAGTTCCCATTGTAGTGTCCCCAAGGCAATTGCTGCTGAAGATACGATTCTGATCTGAAAGGCAGCCCTGAATACTGCTACTCTCCCAGTGTGGTATTTCCCAAACTGTTGTTTGTTAGTGATGGAAGAAAGCAGGAATATCCATGGCTTTAGAGCAAGAGCTATTTTAGGACAGGCAGTGTTAAGAGAAGGAGAGAGCAGGAATCCATCCTTTAATTCAGGCATATGAATGCAGTGGTCATTGCAGACCCCGTTTCTCCTCGGCTGCAGAGACCTCAGGCTATGTCCACTCCCAGCAGCAGGAGACTGGCCTGCAAGTGGCACTTAGTGGAAAGGAAAACCTTTAAAAGGGAAGAAATAGAAAAACTGGGTAATTGTAGAGGTCAAAAAAAAAGATACTCAATTAGCATTTTGTTTGTCAACAAAACCAGTTATCTAAAGGTCCTTTGAATCATGGGTCAGGAGTCCAGAAAAACCTTATTTCAAGCAATATTAAGGATATGTCAGTGAAAAGACTGCCATGTATTTATTTCCTTTCTCTGTAGATACTCTAAGCTGTCAGATCCTGCAAACTGGCTGAACATTAATGCCACAAATGGTCAGATCACTACTGCTGCTGTCCTTGATCGAGAGTCAGACTACATTAAGAATAATGTCTACGAGGCCACATTCTTGGCGGCTGACAACGGTGAGCCCAGGCTTCACATTGTTCATGCTTCAATAAGACTCTAATGTGATGCATTAAGAGAAATGATGCCCTGACAGAGTTGTCAGTATAAGTTATCTTTTTCCCAGGTTTTTATGGTCAAAAATGTGAAAGTGGGACGGGAAATTGCTGGAGTAAATTAAATGTGCACAGTATACGGAGAGTGTTATTAAGGGAAAGGGAGGGCAAATGGAAAATCGATTTGGGGAGTTCAGTGTAGGCGGTGTAGCCTGAACTTAAAAAATATCAAAGGGATGTGCTCTCCATGGGCTGCCGAACACACGGGTCCCGGTAATCGTCCCGAAGGCACTGATCAGAGCATTCAGGAAGCCTTCCATCAAGAAACCGGAAATAATTGTAGGGGATGGCAGGAGGGTATTAAAAATAAGCCAATCCATTGAACTGCTGTGGCTTTCATGAAAGGTGTCTGTCTGTCTATCATTGGAGCTAATCCCTCTCTCTGTCCGCTACCGTTTCTGAACGGTCCAGCCATCATCAGAGCATCTGGATGCTGGTGTACTTTATTATCAAAGTCGCTGAGGCCGGTACAGATCTTCTCGTGGAGAAGTCCTGTTAAGGCTTGCTCTTCTGTACTCATTAAAGATCACACAGCGCTTTTGGTCAAATTAGCACTGTGAACCTCAGCGCTGGTCACACTCGAGGGCAAGCAGTCCTTTGCTGCTCCCCTGGATTCCTCTTCCTAATTCTGATTAGGAGGAGTCGTTGGCATTTTTTTACTAACTATACCTAAATGTGGCCATGCTGTTACTTCAGTCATCAGTTCCTACAGTTGGGAAAGGCTCTGTGGAGGGCTCCAGTAGATTCCCTGGGGAAGGAGAGGGCCTTCCTCCCCCTCTCCCACCCTCGCCTTCCCCCTGCAGGGTGCTGAGTGCTCACATCAAACCAGAGCCATGCTTCAGCAGCAAAATCAAGTCTGTGAGCACCTAAGTACATTGCTCATACTCCATAGGTGCTTTCAGGACAGCGTTTGTGTTAGCTCTTGTCATCCCTCAGGCTGGAGGGTGCCATGTCCGTTAGGAGCAGATACGGTGGTGCTTGCAGGTAAAATGAAAACTTCCTCCCTCTGGGGTTTCAGGCTTCACTTCAGCCATTGCATCCTGGGGCACGGGGGCAAGGCAAACTCATGGAAGAGTTTCAATACTGAGTAGCAGTACCAAGGTGCAAATTTTGCCCCTTCTTTATGCCATCAATGGTAGAACTGGTGTGGTCCCCCAGCCCCAGCGTAAGCTTCCCAGGGCAGTGAAAGCTGAAGTAGTTTCAAGGGGATCTAGCAGCATTCATCTGCAAGAGCCTCGGGGTGGAACAGGTCAAATGAGTTGGCCGGGGCTACTCACAAAAGCAGTGGTAGAGCTTGAACCCATCAAACTAATCCTCACCATCTGACCTTGCAAATCTTGGGCACTTAGTACAGCATGATTTGGTATTAACCCCTTCCCTTGGCTTCTGTGCTGATGCTGCAATGCATCAGCACTTCCACATCCATCATTCAGCAGCTCAGAAAGTGAGGACCTAGATAAATCTCTTTATTCTGAAAAATTAATCTATCACTGGTATATTGCAGCCATTAAAATGCATATAAAGCAACACCTTATTTAAAATTCTGTCTAGAGTGCTTAGGATAACAGCTAAAGTTTTATCTAGGCTAATAGACTCTTTCCACATTTCTCCCAAGTTCCAAGTTCTCCAGCATCACATACTTATCAAAGAAAGACTTTGAGTTGGGGGTTTTGGTGAGGATTTTTCTTGCTTGCTTGAAGAAGCACTAGCATCTTGTTTCCTTGAAGTTCGTTTTGCTGTTTTCACTATATGATAAAGAAGATATTTAGCCAAATACTCCCTGGATATGCTCTCTTTCTCTCCCAGGGCTACCATACAGAGATACTCACTTCAGGTCTTGGCTGCAATGTAAGGGGGGGGGAAAGGGGAATCCTAATCAACAGTGTATTGTTTAGCCCAGGAGAAAGAGGCTCTTGGATCACGCTGTGTCTACACAAGTGTGGAGCCTGGCAGTGTTTGAATCCTTCAGCCAATTTCAACCAATCTTACGGGGAAGCTGAGAACTCA